TTTGAGATGTGTCCCTAACCCCTGAGGGTGGCGCTGGGAAAGACCATGCCCAGCTCCATTAACTCTCAGAGTCCTTATGGAATCAGGATCCAACAGCAAAGGATGACAAACTTGGGCCTGAGCCAGCACAGCAACCTCATGCTCTCACGCTATAGCACATCAGAGAACCCCAGATCCCTGGAATGTGACCCCCTCACTGGTCTCCTCTTTGCTCATTACTGCTGGGAAATCGTTTCTGCTCCCTGAACTTTTTTCCCAGGAACTAATTATCCCTTGAACATACTACTTCAGAGCAGGGATAGTGCTCAGACTCTTCTTTCATCAGATGAGGAAACCAGAACCTCAAGCAGAACGAGACTTCTCCAAGGGCCCCGAGACTGGAGCCAGGTCTCCAGATGCCCAAGTAAGGTCACATATTGTTCTCCTGTGAATCCCCCTCCCTGCCCTATCTCCTCCTCCAATAAGAAATGCTCTCCTCCTCACCAGCAGAAATTATCATGCAAATGTGAGCAAGATGTCATGAAAAGTGTATAAATGCTATATAGTCAGATGGGCCTGGGTTCCTATCCAGCCCTGTCAGCACCCAGCAGTGCCCAGCACACCTGCCTTCCCCTTCATCAAACCATTTCCAAACCTCTACCCACAAGATGAGATCATTAAAACCTCAGTTACTTGTGAGTCACCCAGCGTATGTTAATTTATGACTTGTCTATTTCCTCATTAGTCTGCTTCTCCTGGAAAGTTCTTATTATGTTGACTGTCCCTCAGTCCCCAGAGCCAACTGCAGTAAGGACACTTCCTTCAACTTCTGTTTCTTCATCATGATTAAAAATAAATGTTAAGGCCAGCTGTGGTGGCTCTAAGCACTCTGGGAGTCCAAGGCAAGAAGATTGCTTGAGGCCAGGAATTCAAGACCAGCCTGAGCTAGAGCAAGACCCAGCCTATACAAAAAATAGAAAAGTAAAGTTAGCTGGGTGTGGTCTTATATACCTGTAGTCCTAGATAGTGGGAGGCTAAGGCAGGAGGATCCCTTACATAGATCATGAATATATTTACGCCTTTGTGGGATTCAGTGTGTTGATTATTTGTGCAAATTGGAGTGCTTACATCCTACTAATTAACATAGCTTTCACCTCATGTACTTAATCACTGTGTTAAGACATTTGTGTTCTATACTTGATAGATTTGACTTGTACCCTTGCAATATGCTCCATAGATGTGGTTCCATCATTAACCCTCCCTCTAGCGAACCACCCCCTCCCTTATCATCCCCACTTTACCATCCCTCTCCCCTTCTCTCCTTAGTTGTGATTCATCTTTTATATGAAAGTGTGAGTGATTTTAAATTGATTTCATAGTAATACTGGGTACATTGGATATATGAGCCCAGGAGTTTAAGGTTGCTGTGAGCTATTATGATACCACAGCATTCTAGCCCAAGTGACAGAACAAGACCCTGTAACACTAAATGCAACTAAAACAAGAACCAATAGCAATATTTATTGAGCGCTGAGAACTCTATCGATAATTTGGTTGCTACATCATTATTTTTATTTGCCAATGGAGAAATTGAGGCTTAGAGAAATCAAACAACTTGCCTAAAGTCTCCCAGAAAATAAGAGCTATAGCCAAAAGTTGAGAGCCAGAGCCAGAGCCCCTCTTAAATTAAACGCAAGCCCGCTTCTACTGGAACACTTAGCTATACCAAGGTGGCTGTGGGGACACGCTTGCCTCCCCTCATTTCTTCCCAGCCCAGCACACCCTGATGGGATTGAGCTGGACTCTTCTCCAGACTGTTCCTGGCCCATTGCAGCCCAAGCTGCTGCCCTCTGAGGGTTTCAGAGAAACAGGAGGTCATGGAGGAGGGGAAGGGAGACTGCAACCTTCAGTATTTCAAGTCTTCTTTCCATGCCACTATCTCTCTGCAAAGAAAGGGGCTCCCAAAGGACCCAGGCAAGCATGTTTCAGAGCAAAAAGGAACAAGTCCCAGGGAGCATGCACTCCCTGGGAGAAACATAGTCAATAACTAGCAGGTGCTTGGAAAGCATGTGGACAATCTCAGGGCTGGCTAGGCTGCGGTTAGGGTCAAGGTTGGCAGTGTCACACACAGCCTGCAGTTCCTCATGTGCTGGGGTCCCCCTGCCCTGAGTAGCTCCTGGAGGGGTGAACACTTCTCTCCTCCTTACATAACAGAAAGAGGAGAGGAATGATGTGTAGCTCCCACTGCATGCCAGGTGCTGGAGTTCATGTGCATCATCAAAGTTATGACATCTACATGAACTGGGCACTATCAGCCCATTTCACAGATGAGAAGGCTAAGGCTCAATGGTAAAGTGACTTTCCTGGGTCTCTTCCCAGAAGACAAAGGCATTCTAGAGTGATATATCATATTCACCTATTTCCAAGGATGGGGACAGTATGTGGTAGGGACAATCTGGCACAACAGGACTATGCCCGTCCCAGCTGGACAAAATGACCCAGCTCTGCCAGGCTTCTCTCCTCTGCCAGCATCACCCTGGCTGGAGATGCTCAGGCAACTGAGAAGTGAGTTTATCCCAGTAAAGCAGGCTCTGAACAGAGCTTCTGACCCAAGGGGCCTGTGAGGAAAGGAACAAATGGGCTATAGTCACTGACCCCTTGAGAGGCGGGACAGCAAAAAGGCCAGCCAGGACTGAGAAGGGGGTGGCTGGGGAGCTGCACTCCAGCCAAGAGCTGCGTGGAGCTGCCCCAGGCTAACTGCCGCGTGCCCGAGCGAAGTTAATAAAGTTGCATCCTAATAGTCTGCAAGGTCTCCTGGGCTGCCATTCCCAAAGGGGCCAGGCATCAGGAATGTACTTTGTTCATTTATTTTGGCAAGTTTAACTCTGTATGCTTCTCGCGGCGCTTCCCAGTCCGTTTTGCAAGCTTAATAAAGTCTTCGTAATGAGGCTCCCCTTCAGTGAGGCTGTGCAGAAGCCACTGAGAAATGGGGCAAATGTGACAGGGGTTTTTTCTTTTTTCATTTTTTTATTTAAATAATTATTGTGTTTGCAAAGGAGAGAAGAGCTAATGAGCCTCTGTTGAATGTAGAGAACATATTCTCCATTTCTATCGTGCACCTCTCAGGGCACCCCCTTTTTATTTGATTATTTCCAGATAATTTTTACCTGGACACTGACAGGAAGTGGGGTTTAGAGGGGTAAAGACACGATACTCCCAAAAGCTGGGCAGGGGCTCCCCATCACCTACTCACGTGGCTTCTGTGCAGCAGACTCCACACTGGGTGCTGAGGGGAAGCCACCAGAGAAAGAGTTATACCAGACACGGGTGGGGCCAGGACCACGCTCCCCAGGGACCCGAGTGCTGGATGAGGTTTACCTGCATGAATCAACTGGTTCGTGCACACAGAATAAACTCAAGGCTGGATGGACTGGTACTTTCCATAAGGACTGCTGCAACTGACCTCAGGGAAAGGGCTGGGGGATTTGTGGGACTAACGTCCCTCACAGAACGTTTCCCAGAGGGTTGTCTTGACTCTCATCCTGAAGCAAAGTGTAAAGGAATGAGAAGGGCTATCTGGCTCGGCGCCTATAGCTCAACCAGCTAAGGCGCCAGCCACGTACACCTAAGCTGGCGGGTTCGAATCCCCAGCCCGGACCCGCCAAACAACAATGACGACTGCAACCAAAAAAATAGCCAGGCGTTGTGGTGGGCGCCTATAGTCCCAGCTACTTGGGAGGCGGAGACAGGAAACTCGCTTGAACCCAGGAGTTGGAGGTTGCTGTAAGCTGTGATGCCATGGCACTCTACCCAGGGGGACAGCTTGAGGCTCTGTCTCAAAAAAAAAAAAAAAAAAAAGAAGGGCTATCTGCTGAGCATCGTGTTAGGCTCCTCACCACTTCTACCCAGCCTAGGATAAGAGGATTGATATTATCCCGATTTTTACAGATGAGGAAAGCAAAACCCAGAGAGGTGAAGCAACTTGCCCACAGTCCCACGGCAGAGTCAGAGTTCAGACTCACAATGCTCTAACCCCAAAGCCCGTGCTTTTCCACAGCCTCAAGTTCTCTGGAAGGTATAGGACTTGGATTAGCAGGAGAGATTTAGGGAGAAGATTTCCGACAGAGAAGAAATATAAAATAAGATTTAAAAAGATGAATGCTCAATCTCTAAACATGAAGGTCAGGATACCCATAAACGAACCGTAAATTCTAGGAGAAGAACCCAGCTGAAGCTTGAAGATTTTGTCCATCAAGGAGACCTTTATTTTACCCATTATACTACATATCAGTTGCCTTGGGCTGCTGTAACAAATTGCCACAACTGGGTGATTAAAACTACAGAAATTTATTTTCTTATAGTTCTGGAGGCCAGAGTCTGAAATCAAGGTGTCAGCAGGACCACTCCCTGCAAAGGCTCTAGGGGAGGATCTTTCCTTGCTTCTTCCAGCGTCGGGGGGCTCCTGGTGTTCCTGGGCACGTGGCAGCCTCCTTCCCATCCCTGCCGCCTTCGTATCAAATTTCCCCGGGTGCCTCTCTGCCTCTTATAAGGGCACCTGTCACTGGGCTTAGGGCCCCTCCCAATCCAGAATGATCTCACCTTGAGATCCTTGCCTTAATTAATCTGCAAAGACCCTGTTTCCAAATAATGTCACATTTACAGGTACTGGCAGTTAACACTTGGACACACCATTTTAGGGGACGCAATTCAACCCATTACATTTGCCACGTTGAACTTAATTGAACCCATTTCACCCAAGTGACTGCACAGCAACCCGACCTATAAAATGTTTACAGAGGAATTAGGGACCTACCAGGGAAGGGCAGAAGATGAAAGGCCGCTTCTGTGGCCTTACCCTGCAGCCCTCCGAGTACTGGGACAGGTGTCACCCACGGGTAATGCGTGCTCTCTTTCCTTCCACCCTCTCTCATGCATGTGTTAGGATGCAATTTTCAAGGCAGCTTAGGAGAACAGAAAGAAATGAGCTTTAGAGTCAGACAATCCAAGTTCAAATATGTGACCTTGTCTCTCACAGTGCGGAGCTACACATCCTGCGGCTGCCGACCTCTTTGCATTTGCAGCGGAGCCCGAGCCCTACGGCGCCAGAGGATCTCAGAAGCCATGTCAAAGCCCCATAGTGAAGCCGGGACTGCTTTCATTCAGACACAGCAGCTGCATGCAGCCATGGCCGACACATTTCTGGAGCACATGTGCCGCCTGGACATCGACTCGCCACCCATCACTGCCCGGAACACTGGCATCATCTGTACCATTGGCCCAGCATCTCGGTCAGTGGACATGTTGAAGGAGATGATTAAGTCTGGAATGAATGTGGCTCGTCTCAACTTCTCGCATGGAACTCACGAGTACCATGCAGAAACCATCAAGAATGTGCGCACAGCCACAGAAAGCTTTGCATCTGACCCCATTCTCTACCGGCCAGTTGCTGTGGCTCTGGACACAAAAGGACCTGAGAGTCGAACTGGGCTCATCAAGGGCAGCGGCACCGCGGAGGTGGAGCTGAAGAAAGGAGCCACTCTCAAGATCACCTTGGACAATGCCTACATGGAGAAGTGTGACGAGAACATCTTGTGGCTGGACTACAAGAACATCTGCAAAGTGGTGGAGGTGGGCAGCAAGATCTATGTGGATGATGGACTTATTTCCCTGCTGGTGAAGCAGAAAGGTGG